GCAAGGGGATTGTCGCCGTCAAGGTGTCCGTCGGCTGGTCGACCTGCGTCCGCCCCGACGTCGGCCCATGCTCCGACTTCCACACCTCCAGCGACATTGTCTCGTAGAACACCACGTCCGATGTGGTGACCACCCTGTTGTCGGTGAGGTCGAGGAGCTCCCAGCCCTTGCTCTCCTCCGACACACCGAGGTGAAGGCCCCACCTGGCCTTCGGCGCCAGCTTTCCGCCGCGCTGCTGCTCGGGGACCAGGAACTGCGCCATGCAGCCCCACACTCGGGCCAGCGTCAAGTCGGGCTTCTTGCCGGTCAGCAGCTAGCACGGCGTCATCCCCGGCGGCAGCGTCGACCTCTCCAAGCAGTTGCGCACCCAGACGGCCTGCCGCAGGGCGAGGTGCCACCAGTGGTGCTGCATGCCCATGTGCAGCAGCATCGTTCGCACCGACTCGACCACCGTCCTCATCTCCCTCTCCGCCATGCCGTTCTGCTGCGGGGTGTACGGGCAGGTGAGATTGTGGAGGATGCCCTTGCTGTCCACGAAGTCCGTGAATTGCCTCCCGAGGAACTCCCCTTCTCGGTCAGAGCGCATCATCAGCACCGACTTTTTCGTCTGCCGCTCAGCCACCAGCAGGCACTTCTCGAACTACCGCAGAACGTCGGACTTCTTGGCGACCGGCCTTACCCACACGTAGCGGGTCTTGCGGTCCTTCAGCAGCAAGAAGTAGAGGCTGCCATCCTTGGCGGCCACCCGGAACGGCCCGCACAGGTCGAGGTGCACGACGGCCAGAGCCTCGTCAGCGCCCGAGCCCTTGTCGGGGAAGGTGTGCTGCGCCAGCTTCCCGCCGACGCACGAGACACATGGAGAGTCGGTGCCAGCCGACGGCTTGACGTCCAGGCCGGTGGCGACCTCGTGCTTCGCCGAGCTCGTGATGGTGTCGACGCCGACGTGAGCAAGCCTTACATGCCACCTGGCCGGCGTCGACTTCGTCGCCGAGGCGATGGTCCGCAGAGCCACCGTCTCCAACGTGGTCAACGTCGACGTCGCAGTGCACGGACGAAGGTCGGTGCAGAGGACCCGGCCGGTGTATGTTGCCCGACCTAGGATGTCCCCCGCTGCCGAGACGAGCAGCATCCCGTCACCGTCGCCCTGCAGCTTCACGCCGCTCTCCTTCAGCTGACCGACCGATTGCAGGTTGGCATGCACACCCGGGACGTAGAGCACGTCGGGGATGAGCACCTGATTCCCGGCCTCTCCTTGTAGGGCGACGGTCCGGCGGCCCTGGACGGTCTGCATCGCCCCATTGAAGCCGCGCACGTGCTTGGCGTCGCCGCTTGGCCCCAAGTCGGCGAAGACCTCCTTCGTCCCCAGCAGGTGGTGCCAGCAGCCGCTGTCGAGCAGGACCACCGTCGGGTTCGCCTTCATGGCTGCCGCCACCGCCTGGAAGTCCTCGCCGGCCTCCGGCGCCAGCGAGACGGTCGGCTCCACGACGCCGACCAGCGAGCACGGCGCCTCCCCATCGCCTCGCCCCTTGCCGCCAGAGGAGGAGTCAGCGTCCTTCCCCGAGGTCGACTTGGTCGACTGCTTCTCCTTGCGCGGCTTGTTCTCCCGACGTGGGCGACGACCGGCCGACCTCCCTCGGCCTCCCTTGGTGTCGTTGTCGTCGGACTCGCTGCGGTCGGGGCACTCGAAGGAGAGGTGGTCGGGGTCGCCGCACAGCCAGCACTCCCAACGTCGACTTCCTCCTCCACGACCGTTGTCCTTGGCCGACTTCCTCTTGTCGGCGTCCTTGGACGGCCTCCCACCTCCGCTTCCACCGCCGCCAGGCTTGCCGCGCTGCCCCGGTCGACTTCCTTGCTTCGTCGGGGCGACATAGTTTGCCTGCGGCAGGAGCTCCTCGGCCTCCTGCATCGCCTCGTCTCGAAGGATGTACGAGGTCAGCGAGTACTCGTTGAGCGATTCCCTCGTGCCCGGCACCACCGTCAGTCGTTTCATCAGGTTGTAGCTGCTCGGGAGCCCTTTGATGACGTGCGTGATGTACGACGACGTCGAGTACTCGACGCCGGCCATCCGCATGCAGGCAAGAAGATGCCGAGCTCGGTTGCAGTAGTCGGTCGCCGTCTCCTGCTCGCCCATCCGCAGGTGCGTCATCTGCTCCTCCAGCTGGCCGATGTACAGGTCGTCGGTGACCTGGTACGTCGACACGATGAACTGCCACGCCCGGTGGCCGGCGTCCAGGTGACTCCGGCACGACTTCAGGGCGATCTGCACCACCGGAAAGCAACACCGCGAGATGATCGTGAAGGTCAGCAGCTGCACGGCGCGGAACTCCGCACGCAGCTCGGCGTTGCTCGCAGGCGGCGTCTCCACGGTGCCGTCGGCGAAGCACATCAGCCCGGCCATCTCCAGCTGGGGCTCGATGGATTCCTTCCACGGTGTGCGCGCACCTACTTCGAAGGTGCCAGGTGACGGTTGAGCATGACGTGCACCGCCATGCACATTGCGCAGGTGCTAAGTCGGCCACGTGCCGACGGTTGCGCCTGATGTGCCATATCGACCTCGAGATACCAGCCCGCCGGTCGACTTCGCTAAAATCTCCTGGGCGACGGTCGCGCACCTCGCCGAACCTCGTCGCCTTGGTTACTTGGTCGACCAGGCAACCACGCCGACCAAGTACTGCTCTTCGTGCCCGTCGACTGCCCAGGTCGAAGACCACCTTCTGCCGACTTTACGAAGTCGGCTACTCCCCCAGGTCGACCACTTCTGGTCGACTAGGTCTGATGGTCGCCGACTGCACCCAACCGGCGTCCCCAGGTCGGCGTCACCAAGCCGACGCCCCTCAGGTCGACACCACGAAGTCGACGTCCTCCCAAATTTGGCGCCATCCAAGTCGGCGCCCTTCCCAGGTCGACGAGCCCCGTCGCCGACCACCAGTAGATGTCGGCCACGGGCTTCCCAAAGTCGGCGGCTTTGCAGTGGCCCCGTGCAGGTCGACCAAACCCGTCGACCAGCTCGCCCAAGTCGGCGTCGCCCACTGCAGTCGGTCGGCTGCACTCCCCGTACACCCAACCACGAAGTCGGCTCCGCCCAAGCGAGGACGGGGCCAACACCCAACTCCCGTTGACATGGGGGGCCTACGAGCACAATTCGAGAACAGCGTAGGGTCCCATCCCGTTATACCGGATCAGAGTACACTCACACAAAAAGTCTGAAAGATCAGTGAGGGTACAAACTAAAAGGCTGAAAAATCAGCCATCACTAAGGGTACATTCGGGATGTGACATGTCCCAAAAGAAAGTGTCACAAACGTATTTGTGACTAATTGTGAATCTCCGAAACCAGTAATCGTAATCGTGACTAATCGTGATGCTCCGAAATTGCTATTCGTGACTAATTGTGACACTTCAAACCATGAACAGTAACAATCTAGCCAGATGTCTTACTAAGAGTGGTTCTTTACATACTGTTCATTCATTTCGGAGCATCACAATTAGTAACGATTCTTGTTTCGGAGTATCACAATTCATCACAAATATGTTTTTGACACTTTCTTTTGGGACATGTCACGTCCCGAATGTACCATAATTAAAAAAGGCTGGCGAATCAGCCAAGGTACATAAAAAAGCCTGATTTTACGCCGAATCAGCGTAAAAATGCTGATATCTATGGCACTGGTCGCAATGTGTTTATGTTTGATGCTCTCTGGATCGTTTGCCATCCGAATGGGTTTAGATTTTTTGCCTCGGTTGTACGATGTAATAAGGTAAAAACAATGTTTCAAACAAGCGCTGAAATATTCACAAATGATTTACAAATGTTTTCAACAAAATAAATTGTGCATAAATTACCCGAATTTCGGAAAGTGTGCGGCGTCAGGATTCGTTAATAAACTATGGCGCGAGCTGGAAAACTTATAATCAGGGTCATTTCGGGCGAGGGTTTCTTCTAGTCACCATTCGCATGATTGCTTGCCAGTGTATAGTTACCACACGCGTGAATCGAGTGACCAAACACGTGAACATACAATGTAACGGTTACTGTACGCGTTATTGAGCCCCATAAATGTTACCATTCGCATATTTTCCCTATAAGTGGCGTGCCTCCCAAACCGAGCAACTCTTTAGCGAAGGTCGCAGACACATAAGTGATTGGATGTCTGGCTAGACAGCACTGTAGCTGGTTTCATTTGTAGCCATCAAGCCGCGTGAAAAAGCATGATCGCGCGGGAAAACTTCGATGTGTAAATTTGAGACAAGCAGTACACTACACCAACGGATATTCTCAAGCGGGGTCTTCCAAAGTTCACCACCACTTTCCGTTGACCTCAAGCGGTTGAGAAATAGGTTGAACACTTCACCACTTTGATCTAGGAACTGTGAACGATTTTTCCAGACCCGCCCGCAACGTCGAAGGCACACATCGGACAAATGCATTCTAGGTTACCAGAACAGCTACGATAATTATCCTCTCGAATCCGGCTGAGAAGCACACGTATAGTAGGGTTGGTTAGATCGTCTCGGCATTAAAGAAAACGGGTTTCAGAACGTCATGTCGTTTTAACTTGAGCTAGGCTCGGCAATTGAACGAGCAACAACACCCAGCGTAGCATACCGCATCCACATCGCTTATCACCACGATCTTTCACTTCCGAACTTGAGCCTCAGTATGCCGAACTTCTGTTCCTGCTTCGGAGGAACCCCGACCCACGAGACGGCACAACGGCCGGTCCACGAGACGGCAAAAAGGTCGTCCATTTCCTCCTGGTTCGGGGGCATGGCGTCATCTTTCTGTGGAGCCGCAGGTGAGTCACCCTCAGGGGATGTGTGCTCTTTGACGTGCGTCCACGCTCCGCTTACTCCCCGCCTCCCATACCTTCCCCCTTCCCCCTTCCCCCCTTCCACCTTCCCCTTTCTCCCCTTCCCCCTTCTTGTACCGTCCATTTCCTCCTGGTTCGGGGACATGGCGTCATCTCTCGGTGGAGCCGCGGGTGGGTCACCCTCAAGAGATGCGGCGGTGGGGGCGGGGGGCGGAGGGCGCGGTGGGGGCGGAGGGTGCGCTGCCGCGGTACTCGCAGGAGGAGCTGCGACGTGCGACTGGCGCACCAAGCTGGGGGAAGGCAATCCCCCACACACCCCACTTCCCCGCACAATCCCCCTTCCTCCTCTCTTCCTGCTTCCCGTGATCCCCCATCCCCGTCCCCTCCCCACCCCCATCCCTTTCTTCCCCCCTTCCCCCCCACCCCCCTGAGCAGACCACGAATTGGAGCCGGTGGTAATGAGGGCGGTGGAGGCGGAGGGCGCGCTGCCGCGGTACTCGCAGGAGGAGCTGCGGCGGGCGACGGGCGACTGGCCCACCAAGCTGGGGGAAGGCGGCTTCGGCGCCGTCTACAAGGGCATGCTGCTGCTGCCACAAGGGGGAGCGCGCGGGGAAGGGGATGAAGACGACGGGGAGGACGGGGAGGAGGAGGATGAGGAGGAAAAGGAGGGGGTTGAGGAGGCATTGGATGAGTCGGAAGTGGTGGAGGTGGATGGAAAGCGGTTTCTTCCGGTGGCGGTGAAGATGTGCTTGACAGAGGGCGATGTGCACGGTGGAAGAGAGCAGCTGTTGGTGAGCGCAGCTCCTCGTGAGCGATTTTCATTAAGGGATTGCTTTCGAAGAGTGCTTGCAGCGAGGTTTGCTGGTGGCTCTTTAGGCGCCTCAAAAGGCGATGTGCATGGGGAGGAGAGTAGCTGCTGGTGAGCGCAGCTGCTGCTGGTGAGCGCAGCTACTGCTGCTGAGCGATTGTCAATAAGGGATTGACTTTGAAGGATGCTTGCAGCAAGGTCAGCTGGTGGCTCTTTAGGCGCCTCAAAAGGCGATGTGCATGGGGAGGAGAGTAGCTGCTGGTGAGCGCAGCTGCTGCTGGTGAGCGCAGCTACTGCTGCTGAGCGATTGTCAATAAGGGATTGACTTTGAAGGATGCTTGCAGCGAGGTCAGCTGGTGGCTTTTAGACGCCTCAAAAGGTGCTGTGCACGCGGGAAGAGAGCAGCTGTTGGTGGAGGTGGGTTTCGTGCTTCGGAGTGAGTGTTTCACACAGATCCTAAACCCTAGACTTGTTTTTTCAACCATCCATTGTCCCTTCCATTCCCTTGCTTACCCGCCCAACCCCCGTCCCCCTACCGTGTCAGACGGAGATCATACTGATGACGCCTCTCCACCATTGTCCCTCCACCCTTCCCCCTCCCCTTCTCTCTTCTCCTCCCCATCCCCCCTCCCCTTTTCCCCATCAGACGGAGATCATGGTGATGACGGCTCTCCGCCATCCCAACGTGCTGCGCCTGCTGGGAATTGCCATGTGGGGGCAGACCATTGCAATGGTCTCTGAGTTCGTCCCGGGCGGGGATGTTTCTCAGCGGTTAGGCAAAGGTATGGAGGGGTGTGGTGCGGTGGAACGGGGTGTAATGCGGTGGAATGGGGTGAGCATGTGCACACATGAATCCATGATGGGGCAAACCATCTCCATGGTCTCTGAGTTCGTCCCGAGTGGGGATGTTTCGCAGCGGTTAGGAAAAGGTATGGAGGGGTGCGGTGGAACGGGGTGTAATGTGGTGGAATGGGGTGAGCAAGTGCACATATGATGGGGCAAACCACCTGAATGGTCTCTGAAAGTCCCGGGCGGAGGTGTTCCGCAGTGGTTAGAGAAAGGCACGGAGGGGTGTGGTGGAATGGAGTGCAATGCGGTGGAATGGGGTGAGCATGTGCACACATCAATCCATGCTGGGGCAAACCATCTCAATGGTCTCTGAGTTCGTCCCGGGCGGGGATGTTTCTTTTGGGACGTCTCAAAAAGCGCCTCGTGAAAGGTAATGCGATGTTGTGAGGTGTCGTCTCGTCCCATGTATTGCACGCATCATGCGATGCTGCTCCTACTTGTCTCAAAACATTTTTTTCTTCCTAACATTTTTTTCTTCCTTCAACTCGATGGAGGTTTTACACTGCCCCTCTCGGCTGTGTGGTGGAAGATTGAGAAGCAGCGCCAGGTGTGATGCAGTGTGATGTCGTGTGATGCAGTGTGGTGTGGTGTGATGCAGTGTGGTGTGGTGTGATGCAGTGTGGTGTGGTGTGATGCAGTGTGGTGTGGTACGCATACTCTCTTCCCCCCCTTCTGCTGTCTCTATCTCTTCGCTACGGCGCTAGTACCTGCGCCATAGCAACGATGGCGCAGGTACTAGCCATAGCAACGATGGCGCAGGTACTAGCCATAGCAACGATGGCGCAGGTACTAGCCATAGCAGCGATGGCGCAGGTACTAGCCATAGCAGCGATGGCGCAGGTACTAGCCATAGCAGCGATGGCGCAGGTACTAGCCATAGCAGCGATGGCGCAGGTACTAGCCATAGCAACGATGGCGCAGGTACTAGCCATAGCAGCGATGGCGCAGGTACTAGCCATAGCAGCGATGGCGCAGGTACTAGCCATAGCAACGATGGCGCAGGTACTAGCCATAGCAGCGATGGCGCAGGTACTAGCCATAGCAACGATGGCGCAGGTACTAGCCATAGCAGCGATGGCGCAGGTACTAGCCATAGCAACGATGGCGCAGGTACTAGCCATAGCAACGATGGCGCAGGTACTAGCCATAGCAACGATGGCGCAGGTACTAGCCATAGCAACGATGGCGCAGGTACTAGCCATAGCAACGACGGCGCAGGTACTAGCGCCGCAGCCCCCTAGTGTGATGGCTTGTCAAAAATAGACAGGTTGGCTGCAAAGGCCTTCCTAGTGTGATGGCGGGCCCCTCCAGCCGCGCCGAGCGACGTGAAATGAGTAGCGGGCCCCCTAGTTTTGAGACGCCTCGTGATAAAACAGAGTTGTTGAGACGCCTCGTGATAAAACAGAGTTGTTGAGACGCCTCGTGATAAAACAGAGTTGTTGAGACGCCTCGTGATAAAACAGAGTTGTTGAGACGCCTCGTGATAAAACAGAGTTGTTGAGACGCCTCGTGATTAAACAGAGTTGTTGAGACGCCTTGTGATAAAACAGAGTTGTTGAGACGCCTCGTGATAAAACAGAGTTGTTGAGACGCCTCGTGATAAAACAGAGTTGTTGAGACGTGGGCCCCTCCAACCGCGCCGAGTTTGGCAGCAGGCTTTTGAGTCGACTTAAAAGTCACCTCGTTACAATGGCACACGACACATTTCCTTGTGCTGTCTCTATCTCTTCGCTACGGCGCTACCACGGCTGGAGACAGACATATGTGAAGGCGGGCCCCTCCAGCCGCGCCCAGCATGGCAGCCGCGCCGAGCGTGGCAGTTGCGCCCAGCGTGGCAGTTGCGCCCAGCGTGGCAGTTGCGCCCAGCGTGGCAGTTGCGCCCAGCATTGCAGTTGCGCCAAGCGTGGCAGTTGCACCCGGCATTGCAGCTGCGCCGTAGCCTTGTTTCACTGCCCTCACCCCCCCCCCCCCCCCCTCCCTTCCTTCTTGTTTGTTGCGTGTGCAAGCAGCAGCCAGGGGCGTGGAGCCTTTCCCCTGGAAGGACCGACTGAGCATAGCGGTGGGGAGTGTGGCGGGGCTGGCAGCGATCCACAAGGAGGGATTCATTCACCGCGACTTCAAGGCCGCCAACGTGCTCCTCACCAAGGTGGGTTCATTCAACGTGCTTGTATCCCAGGTGGGTCCCTGCAATGGCAGTGTGTGGCGTGGCTGGCAGCCATACACAAGGAGGGATTCATTCACCGCGACTTCAAGGCCGCAAACGTGCTCCTCTCCAAGGTGGGTAATGCAAGGTGAGCCACTCAACGTGCTCCTCTCCAAGGTGGGTAATGCAAGGTGAGCCACTCAACGTGCTCCTCTCCAAGGTGGGTAATGCAAGGTGACCCCCTCAACGTGCTCCTCACCAAGGCGAGTCCCGTTGTAATGTCCTTCTGATTCTAACGAACGGAGTCATGGTAATGTGCACCTAACCAAGATGAGTCGTGCCAACGTGCCTCTCAACAAGGTGACTCCCCCCAATGTGGCAACTGTTTTGTTTTTTGTTTTGTTTTGTTTTTTTTTTTTGTGATTCTATTGCCCGTGCCCATCTTTTTTTTCTTTCTTTCTTTTGGAACTTTTCAGGATCTCGTACCCAAGGTGGCAGATTTCGGGCTAGCCAAGGCATGCCTGGCCGGCTCCCAGGGCTATATCGACCCCTCGTATTTCGAAACAGGTGGGGTTCCTTTTTGGTTTACCCATGCACCCAGGTGGGGTTCCTGGCACCAGTTTATCTGTGTTTCTTTTGAGTCGCCTTCTAATTTCTGAGGGCTTTTGAGGCGACTTTTGAGGCGCCTCAAAACAGGTGAGGTTCCTGGCAGGCACCAGTTTATCTCTGTTTCTTCTTCTGGTGCCTTCACTGCTGCTGCCGCTGGTGCTGGCACTGGTGCTGCCACGGGTGTTGCCATTTGTGCTGGCACTGGTGCTGTCACGGGTGTTGTCATTTGTGCTGGCACTGGTTCTGCCACGGGCACACCTTTCCATGTCCCCTGGCGCCGTTCCCCGTTGTCCCTTTTCCCCCTCTCCTCCTACGCACGCCCCACGCTGGGGCACTGATGCGCACTTTTGAGTCGACTCAAAAGGCGCCGTTCCTTGTTGTCCCTTTTCCCACTCTCCTCCTCCACCCCACGCTGGGTGGAGTAAGGGCACTCTCCTCCTCCACCCCACGCTGGGTGGAGTAAGGGCACTCTCCTCCTCCACCCCACGCTGGGTGGAGTAAGGGCACTTCAACCATCATCTTCCAACCTCCCTCCTCCAACCCTCCACTCCCCTCACCACCCATCAGGCCTACTGACAGAGCACTGTGACACCTCTGCATGGGGCATCTTCCTGTTATAGCTCCCTTCCAAGCCCTCCTTTCAACCATCATCTTCCAACCTCCCTCCTCCAACCCTCCACTCCCCTCACCACCCATCAGGCCTACTGACAGAGCACTGTGACACCTTTGCATGGGGCATCTTCCTGTTATAGCTCCCTTCCAAGCCCTCCTTTCAACCATCATCTTCCAACCTCCCTCCTCCAACCCTCCACTCCCCTCACCACCCATCAGGCCTACTGACAGAGCACTGTGACACCTCTGCATGGGGCATCTTCCTGTTATAGCTCCCTTCCAAGCCCTCCTTTCAACCATCACCTTCCAACCTCCCTCCACTCCCCTCACCACCCATCAGGCCTACTGACAGAGCACTGTGACACCTTTGCATGGGGCATCTTCCTGTTATAGCTCCCTTCCAAGCCCTCCTTTCAACCATCATCTTCCAACCTCCCTCCTCCAACCCTCCACTCCCCTCACCACCCATCAGGCCTACTGACAGAGCACTGTGACACCTTTGCATGGGGCATCTTCCTGTTATAGCTCCCTTCCAAGCCCTCCTTTCAACCATCATCTTCCAACCTCCCTCCTCCAACCCTCCACTCCCCTCACCACCCATCAGGCCTACTGACAGAGCACTGTGACACCTTTGCATGGGGCATCTTCCTGTTATAGCTCCCTTCCAAGCCCTCCTTTCAACCATCATCTTCCAACCTCCCTCCTCCAACCCTCCACTCCCCTCACCACCCATCAGGCCTACTGACAGAGCACTGTGACACCTCTGCATGGGGCATCTTCCTGTTATAGCTCCCTTCCAAGCCCTCCTTTCAACCATCATCTTCCAACCTCCCTCCTCCAACCCTCCACTCCCCTCACCACCCATCAGGCCTACTGACAGAGCACTGTGACACCTTTGCATGGGGCATCTTCCTGTTATAGCTCCCTTCCAAGCCCTCCTTTCAACCATAACCTTCCAACCTCCCTCCTCCAACCCTCCACTCCCCTCACCACCCATCAGGCCTACTGGCAGAGCACTGTGACACCTTTGCATGGGGCATCTTCCTGTTATAGCTCCCTTCCAAGCCCTCCTTTCAACCATAACCTTCCAACCTCGCTCCTCCAACCCTCCACTCCCCTCACCACCCATCAGGCCTACTGACAGAGCACTGTGACACCTTTGCATGGGGCATCTTCCTGTTATAGCTCCCTTCCAAGCCCTCCTTTCAACCATCATCTTCCAACCTCCCTCCTCCAACCCTCCACTCCCCTCACCACCCATCAGGCCTACTGACAGAGCACTGTGACACCTTTGCATGGGGCATCTTCCTGTTATAGCTCCCTTCCAAGCCCTCCTTTCAACCATCATCTTCCAACCTCCCTCCTCCAACCCTCCACTCCCCTCACCACCCATCAGGCCTACTGACAGAGCACTGTGACACCTTTGCATGGGGCATCTTCCTGTTATAGCTCCCTTCCAAGCCCTCCTTTCAACCATCATCTTCCAACCTCCCTCCTCCAACCCTCCACTCCCCTCACCACCCATCAGGCCTACTGACAGAGCACTGTGACACCTTTGCATGGGGCATCTTCCTGTTATAGCTCCCTTCCAAGCCCTCCTTTCAACCATCACCTTCCAACCTCCCTCCTCCAACCCTCCACTCCCCTCACCACCCATCAGGCCTACTGACAGAGCACTGTGACACCTCTGCATGGGGCATCTTCCTGTTATAGCTCCCTTCCAAGCCCTCCTTTCAACCATCACCTTCCAACCTCCCTCCTCCAACCCTCCACTCCCCTCACCACCCATCAGGCCTACTGACAGAGCACTGTGACACCTTTGCATGGGGCATCTTCCTGTTATAGCTCCCTTCCAAGCCCTCCTTTCAACCATCATCTTCCAACCTCCCTCCTCCAACCCTCCACTCCCCTCACCACCCATCAGGCCTACTGACAGAGCACTGTGACACCTTTGCATGGGGCATCTTCCTGTTATAGCTCCCTTCCAAGCCCTCCTTTCAACCATCATCTTCCAACCTCCCTCCTCCAACCCTCCACTCCCCTCACCACCCATCAGGCCTACTGACAGAGCACTGTGACACCTTTGCATGGGGCATCTTCCTGTTATAGCTCCCTTCCAAGCCCTCCTTTCAACCATCATCTTCCAACCTCCCTCCTCCAACCCTCCACTCCCCTCACCACCCATCAGGCCTACTGACAGAGCACTGTGACACCTCTGCATGGGGCATCTTCCTGTTATAGCTCCCTTCCAAGCCCTCCTTTCAACCATCATCTTCCAACCTCCCTCCTCCAACCCTCCACTCCCCTCACCACCCATCAGGCCTACTGACAGAGCACTGTGACACCTCTGCATGGGGCATCTTCCTGTTATAGCTCCCTTCCAAGCCCTCCTTTCAACCATCATCTTCCAACCTCCCTCCTCCAACCCTCCACTCCCCTCACCACCCATCAGGCCTACTGACAGAGCACTGTGACACCTCTGCATGGGGCATCTTCCTGTTATAGCTCCCTTCCAAGCCCTCCTTTCAACCATCATCTTCCAACCTCCCTCCTCCAACCCTCCACTCCCCTCACCACCCATCAGGCCTACTGACAGAGCACTGTGACACCTCTGCATGGGGCATCTTCCTGTTATAGCTCCCTTCCAAGCCCTCCTTTCAACCATCATCTTCCAACCTCCCTCCTCCAACCCTCCACTCCCCTCACCACCCATCAGGCCTACTGACAGAGCACTGTGACACCTTTGCATGGGGCATCTTCCTGTTATAGCTCCCTTCCAAGCCCTCCTTTCAACCATAACCTTCCAACCTCCCTCCTCCAACCCTCCACTCCCCTCACCACCCATCAGGCCTACTGACAGAGCACTGTGACACCTTTGCATGGGGCATCTTCCTGTTATAGCTCCCTACCAAGCCCTCCTTTCAACCATCATCTTCCAACCTCCCTCCTCCAACCCTCCACTCCCCTCACCACCCATCAGGCCTACTGACAGAGCACTGTGACACCTTTGCATGGGGCATCTTCCTGTTATAGCTCCCTTCCAAGCCCTCCTTTCAACCATCATCTTCCAACCTCCCTCCTCCAACCCTCCACTCCCCTCACCACCCATCAGGCCTACTGACAGAGCACTGTGACACCTTTGCATGGGGCATCTTCCTGTTATAGCTCCCTTCCAAGCCCTCCTTTCAACCATAACCTTCCAACCTCCCTCCCCAACCCTCCACTCCCCTCACCACCCATCAGGCCTACTGACAGAGCACTGTGACACTGTTGCGTGGGGCATCTTCCTGCTCAAGCTCCTCTCTGGCTGCTGCGTGACCCTCCTCTCCTCTCCCATCCCATCCCCTCCCCTCATTCCATCTTCCCCTTTCTCCACTCCTCAGGCTTACTGACAGAGCACCGTGACACCTTTGCGTGGGGCATCTTCCTGTTCGAGCTCCTCTTTCAGGCAGAGTATTGTGAACCTTCCCTTCTAATCCTCTTCTTCCAACTGTCCCTTCTAATTCCAACCCATCCATCAGGCCTTCTGACAGAGCACTGTGACACCTTCGCGTGGGGCATCTTCCTGCTCGAGCTCCTCTCTGGCTGCTGCGTGAACGACCGGCCATTCTCACAACTGCAAACTCTAGCTACGGACCCGAATCTCTCCGATTATTCCCAAGTGGTGGATAGGAACCTGGAGGGGTAGTGGAGTGAGGAGGAGGTGCGTGTGGTGCTGTCTGCGATATGCGATGCGATTCAGCCTGACTGGGGAAGCCGGCCCACCACAAAGCAATTGCTAGACAGATTAAGAAAGCTTTTGCCGGATAGTGCCGGTAGTAGCAAGTAGGAAGTGTCGATGTAAATAAATATTTTGTAGCATTGGTATTGTTTGTAGCCTCAAAATGAGTACACATTTATTTCAAGATTTACATGAGCTGCAAACTTCCCTTTCACAAGCCATCCAATCTGTAAGGAATTTTCCCGAATTCCTTATCGGGGTTGACTGCTACGCGTACAGCCCGATTTTCGGACTTTGCACGTTCGGCCGATTTCAACGCTGCCGAGGCTCCTCGCGTCGCCTTTGGCATTTCCCATCGCCAACCTGCACCCCAACCTCGCTCGTCCGAGGTTTCCTCCTAGCTAGGCTAGCCCCTACATTAGTCTGTGCCTTCATTGTATTCGCAGATCCGTGAATCACAGTCTCGTTATTCGTTTACCTGCGCACTCTTTTTTACAACTCATAACACCTGGTATCAGAGCTACTTTCCTAGTTCACCCCGCTTTTCCGAGGGTAGTTTGGTGGCATAGGGTGTGGCTGGTTTAGTGACTACACGACGGTTGGCTGCAGGGATTGTTAATTCAATCCTGCCCGACTCCGATAGTTCGTGTTTTCACTTGCCTGAAGGCCACGGATACCCGATTGCCCTTCATACGTAGCGCTAGGCACATGGATCAGGAGGCGGTTAACAGGATGATGGCGCAAGTGGCAGGATGATGCCGCATGAAGTCGTTAATGGCGGAAGTGACAACACTACGTGAAGAAAACGCCGAGCTGCGCCAGACGCGAGGTGAAGCGCGTCAGGTGTCGCCCGAGGACGAAGGCGATGGCAACAGTCAAGCGGTGAGCAATCCCTTGGACGCGCTCACACGTGACTTCGAAGAGGAGGATAGGCAGCGAGCGGCATCATCGCCAGTTGCAGTAACGACGATCAAGATAAAGCCCGTCAACCCGCCCCCGTTTAATCCTACGGACAAGACGGTTACAGTAAAAGGGTGGCTGTTCGGGGTCGAGGTCTTCTTCACTGCCGCAGGAGTTAATGACGACGCCACGCGTATTAATTACTCGGTTTCGCTTCTTCGAGGAGCAGCGCTTGAGTGGTGGCGCCGAACCTTGGAAACGGGGACACCGACAGGTGTGACGCATGCGGCAGACGGGACCTCAACAGTGACTAATCAAGTGGCACAATCAATCTTCGGAGTGACCACGATATGCACGTGGAAGGAGTGGGGCGCAGCCTTACGAGATCGCGTCGAGCACGTATCCGCCTCGGAGCAAGCTCGCATAAAGCTGCGTGCATGGTCGCAGATGGCTTCTGTCCAAGACTACACGGCATCATTTATGGGCCTCGCCGACCAAGTTGATGACATGTCGGAAGCAGAGCGGTTGGATAAGTATATCAGCAGCCTCAAATTCGAGATACAGTACGAGGTTCGCAGGGGCCGCCCGACATCATTCCTTGAAGCAGTACGGCTGGCGGAGTCAACAGATGTGCTGATGCAGTACGCGAGAGCAGCTTCCAGGGATGGAAACCGCTTTCGTGGCCAGACCCATCGGGCCACGATCAATGCCGTCCATACACCCGACCGCCCTCCTAAGGGACCGTGTTACCGGTGTGGGAAGACGGGTCACTACATGAAAGACTGCCACGAGAAAACGCCGCTGACGGGGAACGACAGGAAGGAGCAGGGAAATGGGAAGAGTCAGTAATTAGCGGGCCCTTTACTGACTGCGCTCCGTCGCCCGAACCCCACCATCCCCACCGAGTCGTGGTTCCGATTCATGCAATCGATCGCACTCGGCCGAATAACGGGGATACACATGTGGATCACCCTGTGCTGGTCGCTGGCAAGTGTTAAAAAATAACTCGAAAATGTTCGTCGATGGAGGGGCCAGCCATAGCCTCTTCAACTTGGCGAGCGCAAAAAAATGCAAGCTGCAACTTGACAGGTGCCTGCCCGAAATTGACGCCCGCCTCGTGGATGGGACGCCTCTAGCGATAACGGAAGAAACACGGACGGTCAGGATCGAATGCGGCGACGATTTCGGCTTCAGCATGAAGTTTCTCGCGACAACACTGGACGGCTGCGACGTGCTGCTGGGACGTGATCGGCTGCGACGGCACAACCCCGTCATCGACTGGACAACGGGATCGTGCAGCATCAACAAGCACGAAAGGCTAATTAAGCTGCCTGCATGGACACCTGACTACATCCAAGCCCCGTGCGTCAAAGCTGTCACTATAGCTCGCCACTTCAACAGGGGCGCGCAGCTGTTCGCTGTCTGCTTACGCGAGTTGGCGGTTGACACCGACGGAAAGGACATCGAGAAGCTGTGTGCAGCTGTACCACCGGATTTAGCGGAGCTGATTCGGAGGTACCCCGACATTTTCCCCGACGATCTGC